TAAGACGGGCCAGAAAGGGGTAGAGTAGCCTAAGGTCGTTCAAGATGCCTCTTAAGGGGTCAGATGAGGCTAGGCTCTGACACTGAGACTCTAGAGTTGCGCTTTATTCCAGTGCACACCAGGCAGACACCATACTGTTGCCAGATGGAATTTCCACAAAGGCTACAGGATAATGAGCACGCCTGCAAAAAGTGAAGGCAGCTACAATCGAACGAGGTCAATGTTGTTTCCTTGTCAAGCTCACTGCAGAAAGTCTTTCCTTCCAGTTTCACAAGCCATCTGAGACGATCAAGCAGTCATTATCAATCCATTGGCCTAACACTCCGAGACGAACATGATTGCACCACCGTCTTTTCGTCCACCAGGCTTCGTCTCGCTACATATATCGGTAGCTTGGAGGGGTGGCGCAGTGGGTTTTCTTCCGGATACCAGAATTCTTTTACAACAATGCTAAGAAATTCGCAAGATCGAGAGTTTAAATCTCTCTCCTCCAAAAACTAAAAGCAACTCTAAGACTGGGAGAGCAGATTCTGAAGACCGTTTCTGCATTTGAATCAAATTTTCCTTGAACCTTTGATTTGCATGAAGGGGTTTTACGTTGTAGTGCCCAAGAAGCTTTCTTAACTTTTCTCCTTATTTGATCACTGCACAGAATTCTGAACCCAAATCACTGTATCTAGCCACAACAGAGAAAAACCGCGTAATCAACACAATTACTATCATCGGTAGCTTATTGCAGACATCCAGCATTCGTGCCAACATAAGTAGTCACCGGAAATGGATAACATCGTACAACGCGACATCGTTACCTCACCCTGAGGCCCCGGAGAACACTTCAAAGGACAATTGTGGATTGTACAGAGAGGGTAATGAGGGCAGGCTGCTCAATGAAATCCGGATAACTGTGGTATGGGGAACGCGCAAGGGTAGAATAAAAGGGTCTTCTGGGAGGCATATGGTGTTTCTGGCCGATGAGATGACACCTCAGCTACTTGTAAGCTTGTGTGCTCATGAGCAGGATCCTGGTGACTCGCATATGGTCATTATATCTTGGTTGTCTTACCTAATAGAGTTGTACACATTAGTATTAGCCAATGATTTCTCAGGGTTCGAGCGAGGGTCTCGCTGACGCTTATCCAGATCCTTTTACTTTAGCCACAAAGTTAATTTTTTGATATCTGGTTCCCGCAGGTTGGGGTGTGGCCTGCCATTCTTTTCTGAGATAATTGATCTGATACGCTATGTAGCAAACAGACAAAAAAGTCAAGTCAGTCATATGACTCGCGTTGTGCGTTCCTGTACTACGATAGCGAGGATCCCTCCACCGTACGTCATAGCATTAGCTTTGATTTCCACATCAACAACGAAGACCTCGAGCTTTCGCGTACATCTTCTCGGTAGGATTCTTGTTGAAGTTTATCCTTGACTAATTGGTTGCCTAATTTCCCGTCTCAGATTACGCCACTCACTTTCATAACTTACTGTTCGACACAGCACTACCAAAAGCAATCCTCGAGAAGCTTTCCAACATAACCATGCCGGTGCAAGAGATCAAGTTGAGAAGTCTCCAAATCTCATACTGGGAACAATTCGAACAGGATATGACAGGAGAACTGGAGGATATGCTTCCGTATAGTTCAGGGGTGATGAGCGGCACTGATTTGATGGCTGAATACCCTTCACTTGCTGGGTTCCGAAAGCAGATAGTTCACAAAGTATGTTTGGAATTGCCAGCTACTTCCAGTACGATATTGTTCCCCCAATCGTCGATCGAGGAGACTATGGAAAATGTGCGCCATCTGACCCGTGGCTTTCCCCAGAGAACTGATCTCTGAGCGCATCAGGAATTACAAATCAGCTCTTATGTGTGATCCGTACACGTACGACGACTTGTTGTCAACTTGCAAAACAGAGTCTTGTTAGAGCTCTAAATGCGGTTTACCTCAAGCTTATTAGTGTCGGATTTGTCCACGAATCGTCTTGTCTTTACTCGATGTCTGCACCAGCCCCTGCTTTTGGAAGGGTGATCGACAGGCCTAAGGAACATGATCCCCCATGGCTACTCCGCTTCTACGAGACTGATTTGAGGATATACGGAGTCCGTTGTCTTCATCTATTCTGGTGTGCCTATTGGCCCCTGAGTTACCTGGATGCATCTAAAGATGGACCATTCATGCTGTGGTTATTTTCCGATGCGGGAGTAATTGCGCGAATGAAAGCGAAGGTGGGTGTGTTACTAGCGGAGCTACTGCTAGCACGGAACTGGGTCGTGTGCTGCTTATTCGCCGATAATTTTGAACTACAATACACTCTTTTTAGTCCGAAATGTCGGCCCTTTTTTTTGAACAGTGTCACAGTATGTAGTTCAGCACCGACTGTACATGTCGAAGATCAAATTTGTCAAAGTGGGAGCATTTGATGCTGTGATGTCTAATATGCCGAAGAACGCACCAACCGACAGTCAGGCCGCGTGGCACGCCGCTTTGGATGGCGCTAATGGGTTTCAATTTAAACACATATTAACAAATGCGAGAATTAGGCACTATAAGAGTGAGCGATATATTCTTGACCGTAGAAATAGGCAATGCAATCGAAGTTGTAACGCAATGATCCCTACCAGAGTTTCGGTAACTCCTGTAAGCCGCTTTGTCGGGATGTGTGATGACATCGGCTTAAGCTTCTCAGGGCCCGAGACCCTCAGCGGCCCCTCTCACACTCCCTCCCCCCTTCATATAGATTAAGCTAGTTGTTCCATCAATCGGTCGTACTCGGCAGTGTAAACACGCAACCCGTGTTCGGCATCCACGTGCCGACTAGGGCGCTACGCCACAGCAGCGCCACGCTTCTGTATCCCGTCTTTGACCAAAACATGTTTCACCATGCCGCTGTAATTTCGTTTCAGCATGGGTCGGCACACCCATTGCCGGTTTGTTTTGCAAATCTGAGATGAGATATTGTAAGCTCCGCCGAACGGCTCGCAGCGCTGATGGCTGACACAGTGCAAAGGATAAATACTAAGATACGTTCTAAGACCCAAATCTTCCAGAATACGAAGATACAATCTACGAACGTTCCGCAACGCGGAGAAATCGATCAGGTGGATCCTCCAATGCTTGTCATTCCGGTTCTTTACTACTCATGTCCATCCAAAACGTGGCCTAGCGCAGTGTCAAGCATTGCCTAGAGCGACAAGCCTCCGAGATTCTAGAGCTAGAGTTAGCTTAACACGACCTGTGGGGAAGCCAGTCTCTACTGCCCCCTCATGTTTGGGGCCCTTGTATAAGTACTGTAGCGTTGCCTCCTTATTTCCAGTATCAATCAACACATTCCTTCCCTTATTCTTTTGATTCTATAGCTACATATTCAGTTCTGAGTTCTGCTTTTGCCCACATCTAGCAAAATGGTCGCATATGCTCTCACTTCGATGCTTCTGAGCGCTGGTGCGCTCGTCGCTGCCGCCCCATCAGGTCTTGATGCCCGCGATGGCTGCACTTTCACCGATGCTGCGACTGCTATCAAGAACAAGGCCTCTTGCAGCAACATTGTCATCAGCGGCATGACAGTTCCTGCTGGTACCACCCTGGACCTCACGGGCTTGAAGTCCGGTGCCACCGTCACCTTCCAGGGCACAACGACCTTTGGATACAAGGAGTGGGAAGGTCCTCTCATCTCCGTCTCCGGAACTAACATCAAAATGGTGGGTGCCTCCGGCCACACCATTGATGCCGCTGGTCAGAAGTGGTGGGACGGAAAGGGATCCAACGGCGGCAAGACCAAGCCCAAGGTAAGCGATGAGTTCACTGAAAGTTAATCTGAACTGTAGTCTGACTAACCAATCCAGTTCTTCTACGCTCACTCCCTGACCACATCCTCAATCAGCGGACTCAACATCAAGAACACTCCCGTCCAGGCCTTCTCCATCAACGGTGTCACCGGCTTGACTCTTGACCGCATCACCATCGACAACTCTGCAGGCGACTCAGCCGGCGCCCACAACACCGACGCCTTCGACATTGGCAGCTCCAGCGGCATCACCATCTCCAACGCCAACATCAAGAACCAAGACGACTGCGTCGCCATCAACTCCGGCAGCGACATCCACGTCACAAACTGCCAGTGCTCCGGCGGCCACGGCGTCTCCATCGGCTCCGTTGGCGGCCGCAAGGACAACACCGTCAAGGGCGTCGTCGTCAGCGGCACCACCATCGCCAACTCGGACAACGGCGTCCGCATCAAGACCATCTCCGGCGCCACTGGCTCCGTCTCCGACATCACCTACGAAAACATCACCCTCAAGAACATCGCCAAGTACGGCATCGTCATCGAGCAGGACTACCTCAACGGCGGCCCAACTGGCAAGCCCACCACTGGCGTCCCCATTACCGGTGTTACGCTCAAGAACGTTGCCGGTAGCGTTACTGGATCCGGTACCGAGATCTACGTCCTTTGCGGAAAGGGAAGCTGCTCCGGCTGGAACTGGTCCGGTGTCAGCATTACCGGTGGAAAGAAGAGCTCCAGCTGCCTTAACGTTCCTTCTGGCGCTTCTTGCTAAGCGGCCAAGGCAACTTTTCTTGGGAGAGAGAAAAAGCGACTAAGGTGTTCGGTCAGAGGCCGATGCCAACTACCCCTTAATTCTTCTTGTATATCTTCGTTTCATATATATATATATCTGAATGGCATAGAGTGCCTGGCTCAACTTTTCTTTTTGCTTCTCATGCTTGATGTGATATATCTGTGCTTCTGTCTTATCCTTGTTTGATCTGCATAGTTGATCTGCATAGTTGTAGTCTTCTAGTGCGTACCATGTCAAACTCTATCGCTCCTATATAAGCAGCAACTATACATTTAGTCTCATCACCAGTCCCACTAGCGCACCGTTGTTTAAACGATAAAGCATACGCTTACTTCACACGTACTAAAACAACACGCAGCCATACGATCCATTATATCCACATTCGTTAACACATAAATACATCCGTTCCTCCACCACTCCCCATATATCACACCCTCTCCAACCAAATCAACTTACTCTGATAATCCATTGGGTCCCACCTCACATTAATACCCCCATTCATATACGTCGCCCCACTATACGTCCCATTATCCAAATCATTCCTATACCTCGCCTTGGGATCCAGACCCTGCAGCCTAACGGGGGGAGCAGCGGGTTTAATCTTCATAGCCTGTTGGAACGCAAAGACGATGCTCTTCGCGCCATCCGGGCTCACAAACTGTACTGCGGGCCAATTCGACTGTGCGGGGTGTGCGAGGCGGTAGAAGTCACCTGAAATGACGATGGGGTTTACCTCTTTTGCGGCGGCCATGATGGCGGGGACGGCGGAGGCTTCTTCGGCGGAGAGCTCCGAAGGGTTGAGTTCAAGGCCGAAGGAGCCGCACATCATGGCTACGTGACCGCGGTATTCGAAGCTGATGTTGCGGTTGGTGAGGTGGTTGGGGACGGCGGAGATGTGGCAGCCCATTGCCGAGGGCGGGTACACGAGGGATGTGCCCATTTGGATAGTGAGACGGTCAGAACTGTCTGTGTTGTCTGAGGTCCAGGATTGAGGCCAGTAGTGGAGGAGACCTGGGTCGAAGCGGCCGCCGCCTGAGGCGCAGCCTTCGAAGAGGACATCAGGGTAGCTGGTGGTGAGATTGTCGATGACGCGGTAGAGGCCGAGAATGTATTTGTAGTCGTCGGATGGGTGCGACATCTCGTGAATTCCGCGGTTGTTATCCCACTTGACGTAGGTAATGTTTCCTGAGTCGAGGATGTTGGAAACGGTGTTGATGATGAAGTCTTGTACTTCTGGCAGTCCGACATTCAGAACTAGTTGGTTGCGCGTTAGACTTCTTTGGTGCTTTCCAGCAGACAAGACCCAGTCAGGATGCTCGTGGTACAGTGTCGAGTTGGGGTTAACCATTTCTGGTTCAACCCAGATACCAAACTGCATGGGCTTTGACTCGTTCAGTACCTTGTAGTCGGTTACTTGGCCAACATATGGACCGAGACCGTTGGGAAACTTGGCCGGGTTGGGTGTCCAGTCACCAAGACCGAGCGAGTCGTTGTTACGCGGGTAGTTGGTGCCAAACCAACCATCATCCATGACGAAGAGTTCGATACCGAGCTGTTCTGCCTCACCAGCAAGACTGACGAGTGAAGTCTCGTTGATATCAAATTGCAGACCTTCCCATGAGTTGAGCAGAATTGGCCGCGTCTGGTTCGTAAATTTCGAACGGGAGAGATGGTTACGGTAGAGGTCGTGGAAAGACCGCGACATGCCTCCTACACCTTCTGACGAGTAGACACCAACGGCCTCGGGAGACTGAAAAGTTTCACCCGGTCCAACAGGAATGCTTGCATGGATTGGGTTGAGGCCCATAAGCACACGTACGTAACCGTTGGAGAAGCGCTGAGCTGTCGCGGCGAAGCTGCCAGTCCAAATCAAGCTAAATCCCCATGCCTCTCCAGTCGACTCAGTGGTAGTGGGTGATACAAGTGAGAAGAAAGGATTGTGCAGATGCGATGCGTATCCAGCAGTGCTCCGGAATCTACTCTTGATTAGCCATAGTTCTGAATTATCTAGAAAATACTTACGTAGTCTCGCCATAGTCAATTGGTCTCCGTACTGTCTGGAACTCATGAGACCAATCGCCATGAGGCTCAATCATTTCCAACTCGACATTGGGAAAGTCGGTACTGAAGCTCACTGCCCTCTCAATCGAGATATTTGCAGTTCCATTGTTTGTAATGGTAAAGCTACGTGCAATAGCGTTGTACTTTGGGAAAATCGAGTACAAAAGTGCGGCCGAAACATCAGACACATTATCGTACAGATGTACAGTCACGGTAGTGACATCGCCAGCTTCTCCATACGTCGCTGGAAGCCCTGGTAACGAAGGTTTGCCCTGCGAAATGTCGTGAGATTGGTACCGGAGAGCCGTTACAGTGTCGCCATCCGCATGCTGAATATGGATAGCAGGCAAGCGAAAGTCGCCACGACCAATATCAGGAAACTCGCGACGAGCATTGCCGACTCCAGCAACCCATCCGCTAGAGGAGATACGAGCAGGAGGCGTGAAATCCGTTGCCGGACCACCAAAATGATCTGATCTGAGATCTCCAGACTGTGTATCCACATGGAAAAGGTACGACATGCCATCCGCCGTCAGCGTAAAGTTCGTTCCACTCGCCGTAACAGCTACCATTCCTCTCAATTAGTCCATATCTCAATCAAGTTCGAGTTGCACAAAAAACCTACCATCCTGTCCAACAACAGCGTGGACCAATAGGCCCAACACACAAACACCCTTGAAACCCAACATGGCGAGATCAAGCTCGATGCAAACAACAGTACATTAATACAAGAAGAAAAAAACTTTCGACGAACAAAAAACTTGCTACCATTATATATACATATTTCCCCCAACCCACCTCACCAGACCGACCGACCGATCGCTCACATCCCGAGATCGTCCCCCCTCACCTAACTCCCAAAAGAACCCGCACCTTCACCATCCGTGAGGGGGAAGGAAAGTGGGGAAAACGGGGGGCAATCCTGGGGGTTAGCAGCAAGCAAGCAACTTCGTCCGCGAACCCCC